TAATCTCTTAGTAGAGTTCTTTGGGTCCCCTAAACAATCACATCATCTGCAAAGGGGATAGTTTGAGTTCTTCCTTCCCAATTTGTATCCCTTTAATTTCTTTTTCTTGCCTAATAGCTCTGGCTAGAACTTCCAGAACTATATTGAATAGCAGTGGTGAGAGTGGGCATCCCTGTCTGGTACCAGATCTCAGTGGAAATTCTTCCAACTTTTCCCCATTCAATAGGATGTTGGCTGTGGGTTTTTCATAGATTGCTTTGATTGTATTGAGGAATGTTCCTTCCAAACCCAGTTTGCTTAGAGTTTTCATCATGAAAGGGTGTTGTATTTTATCAAATGCTTTCTCTGCGTCTATTGAGATAATCATATGGTTTTTCTTCTGCAGTCTGTTAATGTGGTGTATCACATTGATTGTTTTGCGCACATTAAACCATCCCTGCATACCAGGGATAAATCCCACTTGGTCTGGGTGGATGATCTTTCTGATGTGTTGTTGCATTCTATTGGCGAGAATTTTGTTGAGGATTTTTGCATCTATGTTCATCAGGGATATTGGTCTGTAATTCTCTTTCAATGCTGCATCTTTTTCTGGCTTAGGAATTAAGGTGATGCTGGCTTCATAGAAAGAATTTGGGAGGACTCCCTCTTTTTCGATTGTTCTGAATAGTTTGAGAAGAATTGTAGTTAGTTCTTCTTTAAATGTCTGGTACATTTCAGCAGAGAATCCATCTGGTCCTGGGCTTTTCTTTGTTGGAAGGGCCTTTATTACTGTATCAATTTCTGTCTCAGTCATGGGTCTGTTTTCTATGTCTTCCTGGTTCAATTTAGGTAGGTTGCATGTGTCTAGGAATCTATCCGTTTCTGATAGGTTTCCCTGTTTGCTGGCATACAAGTCCTTGTAGTAATTTCTGATGATTCTTTTTATTTCTGTGGTGTCTGTTGTTACATTTCCTTTTTCATCTCTGATTTTATTGATTTGGGTCTCTTCTTTTTTTAGTTAGTTGGGCCAATGGGGTGTCAATTTTGTTTGTTTATTCAAAAAACCAGCTCCTCCTTTGGCTGATTTTTTGTAATTTTTTTTTGTTTTTTTTGATTCAATCCTGTTGATTTCTTCTCTGATTTTAATTATTTCTATTCTCCTACTAGATTTGGGTCTGGTTTGCTGTAGGTTTTCTAGATCCTTGAGGTGAATTGAAATTCTCCTACTAGATTTGGGTCTGGTTTGCTGTAGATTTTCTAGATCCTTGAGGTGAATTGAAAGCTCCACTTCTGATTCAGCTCTCTGCTAATGTGCATGGAAATTCACCCATGTGATAGACCCAGAAGAAACTCCTGGCTTCTGGCTTCAGACTGGCCCAACTCCAGCCATTGCAGCTGTTTGGGGAGTAAGCCAGCAGATTAAAGATCTCTCTCTCTCTCTCTCTCTTTTTGTTTCTCCATTTCTCTGTAATTCTGTCTTTCAAATAAATAAAATAAATCTTTTTTTTTTAAAAAATCAGTCTGTCAAGGAGGCATTGGCACACTCATGTTTGTTGTAGCACTCTTTCCAATGGCCAAGAAATGGAAACAATCTTAGTATCCATTTATGAATGAATGAAGAAAATTTGGTGCACATATGCAATAGAAGACACCCAGCCACAAAGTGTGAAATCTTGTCATTTCCAGCAACATGCATGGAGCTGGAGCTCTTTATGTTAAATGAAGTAAGTCAAGCACAGAAATAGAAGTATTACATGATTTCACTCATTTGTGGAATAGAAAAATGTTAACTTCATAGAAATTAAAAATATAATAATTACTAGAAGTGGGAGAACAAATGGAAGGACTACAAAAGTTAATTAATTGATACTAAATTATAGTGAGATGTGAGAAATAAGTTCTATTTCCTTGCACAGTATGGTGACTATAAATAACCATATGAACTGTATTTTTTTTCTGGAACACTAGAAGAAATTATTTTGAATGTTTTATTAATAAAGAAGTGATAAATGTTTGAGATAGATAACCTGGTTTGAATATTATACAAAGTACACATATATCAAAACTATAATTTTGTACCTCATAAGTAGGCATAATTCTAGTGTCAGTTACGTAAAATAAATTTTAAACTAAATTTCAGAAATGGTGAAAACTGAAGTTAATGAATGACATCTTTATTGTGAATAGAGTATATAGCTGCAAACTAGAAATGTGTATTCTACAAAGGAATATGTCAGAATAATGTTATTTTCATCCCATCACAAGCTGAAGATCTTTAACACTGGTCAACCAAAACCAGAGAATGGTCTAAAGACAGTATTGTAGGAAGATAAGAGATAATCCCAGACCAAGGCATAGAAATGCAGGCAGCAATAAAAAGCAACATGGAAGGCTGATCCTTGTATTAGTGTAAATGTCAATAAACATTGACTACAAAAAGCTATAAAAAAGAATAATAATATTGAATTTATTTTAAATGGAGAATTAGTTTGGTAATAGTTAAGGACATATTGAAAGTGACATTTATTTATTTAATGATTTATGTACTTATTTGAAAGTCAGATTTACACAGAGACAAAGAGAGGCAGAGAGAGAGAGAGAGAGAGAGAGAGAGAGAGTTCTTCCGTCTGCTGATTCACTCCCCAATTGGCCACAATGGCTGGAACTGTGCTGATCTGAAGCCAAGAGCCAGGAGTTTCTTCCAGGTCCCCCACATGGGTGCAGGGGCCCAAGGACTTGGGCCATCTTCCACTGCTCTTCCAGGCCATAGCAGAAAGCTGGACTAGAAGTGGAGGAGCTGGGACACAAACCAGCGCTTTATCCAGTACGCCATATCACTGGCCCCAAAAAACTGATATTTAATAATAGATGTTAATGTAGAGAATTGTCTTTAGGTAAATAAAGAAATAATAGTAAAAAAATAAAGTGTGTAAATAAAAAAGGGAAGGAGTTTGAATATAAATAACAAAGACATAACATTTTTTTCCTTGGCCACAACTAATTTTGAAATGATAGAAGTATATGCCTGACTTCTTTGTACCTAATAAATTATATTTATAACAATCCATGTAGGGATTGGAGTTTTTATCCAAGTCTAATGAAACTTCTTTAGTTAATAGGTTATATTAGTCATTTTTGAAGAAAATTACTTACATTTTCTCATATATAGCACCAATTAAATGTTTTATTCCTCCTAAAGTCTATTTTAATCATAATCATTATCTTTTGATCTAAGAGATTCACTTTTTAACATCTTTTAAGCTACATTGTTAACTTTATTAGAATGAATAGCTAAAACTGATCCTATTATCACAATTGTTCAGAAATTCTGACAGTTGGTAACTAGAGAGAGATTATATTAATTTACTTGCCATAGATTTTTGACATAACTATTTCTTCAGCATTTTACCTCTTATTAAAGCAGGGTAAGGCAAATCTGGTCACTGGAGCTTTCATTAGTTTATCTCTCTAAGGCCAAAGGCAGAGTCTTATGACAATTTATCTGTTGCCCACCCCTCAGGAATCTTTGAAACTTAACAATGTCAACTCAGCTACATAATACTGTATTATTTTTTATCAGATTACCTCTCCAGTAACAAAATTGTGGTATTTTAATTAACAAAAGGTCTTAATAAATAACCTTGATATTATATCATATGCATTGGAGTTTATGGTAAACAGAAGACTATTATTAGTATGGGATTGCTATTTACTAATTAAACATGTATATTAAGCTTTATGGTACCACCAATAAGCCTCAAATTGCACTGTGTATGTATTTTGGGTATGGATAGCTAACATGCATATTAAGGCTTCATAAAATATTACATTATAAGTTTATACCTTGGGTTTCAGGAATGAAATGTTTTAAATATGTACTATTTAAATAATAAATTTCCATTTGTTTTTAAACTTTTCATTAATTTAGAATGTTCTTGTATGTAAGAACAAACTGTATGAAACGATTTTCATTCATCATTAACATGGGCCAATGAACAAAAATCAGCATTTCCAGAAAATATGCTATTTTCAAATGAAGTTAAGTGTCCTAGCACTAAAGATAATTCAAGCAGAATGGAGGAAAGTGAAATTAAATTATAAATAATGTTGTAATAGGACTAAAGGTGAAAATCAGCCAACAATTAATAGTTGATGGCTTTATAATCTGCACAAATAACTAGATGCTGCTTTTAAAATATATTAAATTCAATCATGTGAATATTTTTTACACAAAATTGAAGTCATTTGCCTGATTTTTTTTATATATATATAACAGAGAAAATTTGTGGAATCTCCTGTTTCCTAAAGGAAATAGTTGGGCAAAGCAGACCAATAACCTTAGTTCAAAAGTTTGAAGGAGGCAAAAAATTCATGCATGTGTATAAAAAACATAAATGTATAAATAATTAAAAAGTTAATATTACATGATATTATACATGCTATAAAATGTATGTGTGTTTATTTACTATTAAATCACTCAGTATCTGTGGTAGCAAATAAAATATATTGAATAGTCATTATTTAAAAGCAACAAGGATACTTAGAAATTTGAGATGCAGATCCATGAGATTCTTATTTAAAATAATAGGTTTTCACTTGAGAAACAAATATAGGAAAGTCAATGACATCCTATTCAACAGTTGTTATCTTTTGACTATTTGATAACAGTCAATCTCACTTGAATAAAGTGATATCTCATTGATTTTGATTAGCATTTCCATGAAGACAATGAACCTAAGCATATTTTCATGTACCTGTTGCCCATTTGTACATCTTTGAGAAATGCCTATTTAGATCTGCTGTCCATTTTTAAATTGAATTATTTGATTTTTTTGCTATTGAGTTGTTCTAGTTACATACTCTTTGTCATATGAATAGCTTGCAAATATTTTTGTTCTCCTGTTCTGTAGCTAGTTTCTTTTATTATTATTATTATTTTATTGTTATTATTTCAGCTGCTCAAAAGGTCTTCAATTGGATGAAATCTCATTTGTCTGTTTTTGCTTTTTATTTATTGTCAGGAGCCAGGACTCCATTTGAGGACCCATGTGACTAACAGAAATTCAAGCACTTGAACATGATCTGCTGCTGTCTAGGCATCTTACCAGGAAGATAAACTAGAGGTGGAGGTTTGTCTTGACCACAGGTATTTCTTTTTTTTTTTAAACTTTTATTTAATGAATATAAATTTCCAAAGTACAGCTTATGGATTACAATGGCTTGCCCCACATAACGTCCCTCCCACCCGCAACCCTCCCCTTTCCCGCTCCCTCTACCCTTACATTCACATCAAGATTCATTTTCGTTTCTCTTTATATACAGAAGATCAGTTTAGCATACATTAAGTAAAGATTTCAACAGTTTGCTCCCACACAGAAACATAAAGTGAAAAATACTGTTTGAGTACTAGTTATAGCATTAAATCTCAATGTACAGCACACTAAGGACAAAGATCCTCCATGAGGAGTAAGTGCACAGTGACTCCTGTTGTTGACTTAACAAATTGACACTCTTGTTTATGGCCTCAGTAATCACCCTAGGCTCTTGTCATGAGCTGCCAAGGCTATGGAAGCCCCCTGAGTTCACTGACTATGATAATTTTTAGACAAGGTAATGGTCAAAGTGGAAGTTCTCTCCTCCCTTCAGAGAAAGGTACCTCCTTCTTTGATGACCCGTTCTTTCCACTGGGATCTCACTCATCTCACTCGCGGAGATCTTTCATTTAGTTTTTTTTTTTTTTTTTTTTTTTTTTTCCACCAGAGTGTCTTGGCTTTCCATGCCTGAAATACTCTCATGGGCATTTCAGCCGGATCCGCATGCCTTAAGGGCTGATTCTGAGGCCAAAGTGCTGTTTAGGACCACAGGTATTTCGTAATGCAATCACCTCAATTTTTTATGTAACTCACTGTGACACAATTTCTGCCCCCAACATCACTTATTAAAAACACTATTCTTTTTCAAATGCAGATTCTTAGCACTTTTGTCAAATATCAGTTATATATAGTTCTCAGAATTTTCTTCTAGTCTCTGTTCTATTCTGTTGAGCCCGTGGATCTGTTTCCATGCTAATATCATGCAGTCTTAATTACTGTACATTTATAACATATTTTGAAGTTAGTCAATATAATGTATTTTGCTTTGTGGTTTTACTCAGTATTGTTTTGAATACTAAGGGTCATTTTGGTTCCATACAAATTTTAGGAGGGTTTAATCTAGATCTATGAAAAACTTTATTAGAAGTTTGATAAGGTTGCATTGAAATCATAAAAATTGTTTTGGGTGCTGTCATATTTTAATGATATTCCTTCTTCCAATTATTAAAATGAGGTGTCTGTCTATTTCTTTGTGTCCTCTACAATTTCTTATAGTTTTCAAAGTCTATAATTTTCATTGTGCTGATCTTTCACTTCTGGTTAAAATTATTTCAAGGCATTTTTAAAATTTATTAGTTTATTTTCTGTAGGAAATGGAATAGCTTTCTTGATTTCTTTTTTGATGATCCAGTATTGATGTATAACAACACTGCCGATTTTTGCACATTAACTTAGCATCCTGTAAGTTTGCTGAATTTATTGTTTTCACAACTTAGTAGTGGTGTCTTTGGGGCTTTCTACATATAAGATTATGTCATCTACACAGAGTGACAATTTGATTTCCTTCTTTCCAATTTGGATACCCTTCAATTCCTTACTTAAATGCTGTAGCTATAATTGCCAATATATTTTGAATAAAAATGGGGAAATTAGGCATATTTTATTGCAGATTTTAGAAAGAATATCTTCAGCATTTCTCAGTTCAATATATGAAGTTATTGGCTTATAATATATGGTCTTAATTATGATGAGGTATGTTCTTTGTATACATAAATTGGTCCCAGGTTTTATTATCAAGGAATGTTTAATTTTAGCAAACAGATTTTTAGCATTTATTGATATTATCCTGTGATTTTTATTTTTCATTCAGTTGATGTGTAATGTCACATTTATTGATATTTCATGTGTTCAAATACTCTTTTCTGCCTAGGATAAATTTTACTTGATCATGATAAATTATAATTTAATATGCTATTGGATTGAATTTGCTATTATTTTATTGAGGATTTTTGCACTTGTGCTCATCAAGGATATTAGCTCGTAGCTTTCTTGTTTGTTGTGTCATGGTCCGGTTTGAATATCAAGGTAATGCTGACTTCTGATGAATAAGGCCAAATCTATCTTCTATTTTTTAAAGTAATTTAAAAAGAATTAGCGAATTTTTTTTTATCTAGATTTGGTAGAATTCAGTAGTGAAACCATCTTGTCCTGTGCTTCTTTTTGATGGGAAAGTTCCTTGTTTTAAAAAAGATTTAATTTTTTCATTGGAAAGAAAGAGTGATAGCGAGAGATGGAGAGGCAAAGATCTTCCTTCTGTTGGTTTACTCCCCAGATGGTTGCAACAACTGGTATTGGGTCAGGCTGAAGGCAGGAGCTAAAAACTCTATTCAGGTCTCCCAAATAGGTGGGAAGGATTCAAGAACTTGAGTCATTTTCTGATACTTTCCCAGGCACATTGGCAAGGTCGTGGATCAGAAGCAAGGCAGCAGGGACTCAATCGCACATTCTGTATGGAATTCCAGCACAAGCTGTGTCTCAATCTGCTGAGACATGCCTGCCCTAAGAAATTTTATATCAGACATTTAATTTCAATACTTATTTTTGGTCTATTTGAGAGGACTCTATTTCCTCATTATTCTATCTTAGTAAACTGTATGTGTCCAGGAATTTTTCCACTTCTCTAGGTTTTTGAAGCCTTATAGTATTCTCTAATAATCCTTTTCCTCTCTGTGATGTTAGTCATATGTCTCCATTTTCATTTTTGATTCCATGTATTTAAATCTCTTTTTTTCTTGATTCTCTAGCTAAGGGTTTATCTTTTTTTTTTACTTCTCAAAGAAAGAATTTTTTGTTTTTAAAATTCTGTGTGTCATTGTTTGTGCTCTGAGTCTATTCTTTTCTTTCTTCTACTGATTTGTGATTTAACTTTTTCTTATTTTTCTAGGAATAAGTTGTTTATTTGTGATTCGAAAAAGATTTATTTATTTATTTGAAAGAAGAGCTAGAGAATGAGGTAGAGATGGAAAGAGGGAGGGAGAGAGACAGAAAGAAGGGGAGAGACAGAGAGGGAGAAAGAGAGAGAGGGGAGAGATTGAGGGACCCAGATCATTCATCCACTGTTTCACTTCCCAAATGATTGCAACATCTGGGGCTGGGTGAGGTTTAATCCAGGAGCCAGGAAATTCATCTGCATCTTCCATATGCACAGCAGTAGCCCAAATACGTAGGCCATCTTCCATTGCTTTTCCAGTCACTATAGCAATGGGCTGGATTGGAAGTGGAGCAGCAGGATACGAATTAGAAATCATCGGGATGCAGCTGATGCAGGTGGCGGCTTAATCTGCACTGACCCTCTCTATCTTTTTATTAATTTTTTTGATGTAGCATTGATTGCTATAGATTTTCTTCTTAATACTGCTTCTGCTGTGTTCCATAGGTTAAGGTACATTGTCTTTCCATTTTAATTCGTTTTAAGAATTTTTAAAATTTCCTCCTTGATCCATTTCTTGTTTATTAAGTTATATAATTCCACATACTTGTGTAGTTTCAAAAGCTTTTATTATTATTGATTTACAGTCTTATTGCACTGTCATCAAAAAGATAATATGATTTTTATTTTTTAAAAATTTGTTGAGACTTGTTTTGTGGCCTAACATATGATCTATCCTAAAAAAATGTCCTATGTACTATTGAAATGTATTCTGTAGTTCTTGGATATAAAGCCCTATAGATGTCTGTCAGGTCTAATTTATACAGGGTATTATTGGTCTCTGCTCTTTCTTTTTTTATTTTCTGTCTACATGATTTGCCCATTTATGAAAATATCAGGTGAAAGTCCCCTGTTATCATTGTGTTGGAGTTTTTAATCTCACTTTAGCTCTATCAATATATTTTATATATGTATATATATTTAAAGCGTCATTTCCTCTTGCCATTGTTATGTCATGTTCTTCCTGGTTTTATTTTATTGTTTTGGATGTAAAATCTATTTTATTTGACATAAATATGGCAATTTTTATTTATTGCTTTATGGATACCATGAGTCTTACAAAAACTTATTTTGTCTATCACAAACTATACTGAAATGATAACAACTTAACAGTGATTATTATGATAGGGAAAGTGACAAGCCAAAAGACAAAGTGGGAGAGAGAGAGAAATCCTAATGAAGAACACTACAATTGTGCTTAATTTATTCCCATGTTTTGAATTTCTGATGTTGCATTTTTCCTCTTTGTATGTTGTCTGTCTCAACATTTTAATATAGTAATTATAATTTTAATCTCCACACTAAAGCCATAAATGGATGTTGGTAATATTAGAACACTCTGAATTTGTTAGTATTGATTGGGTTCTCTACCTTTTGTGTTTTCTTCTTACTTGATAGCACCTTTCTTTCGGTTCAAAGAACATCCTTGAGCACTTCTTCTATCATAGTCCAGGTACTGATATATTTTCTCAGGTTTAATTTGGGAGAAAGGAAGGAGAGAAAGAGTGTGTGTGTGGGAGAGGGTGGAAAGGAGAAAATTTCCATATTGATGTGGGTTGGAATAATAAGGAAGAAGACATCAAGAAGCTAATTTTGACTGATGGTCATTAGAAAAATCCACTTTTTAGTGAATTTAAGTATCAGAAAGCAGCTGCTAATGAGAATACTTGAGGGTAGACAATTACAGATACAGGGCAAATGAAAACTACAACAATGCGTAAATAAAGTGAGCTTGACCTGAGTGAAAACTAGAAAAGTGGTTTGTTTAGACAGAGTAAAGTGTAGAAGAACCTAGAAACAGCCTAGAGCACCTCATACTTTTCTTAGATAAAACAAGCCTTAGAAACATATGCATTGGTTTGAGCCATTTTATCCCATTCTTCCTACTTCATCATATTTGGTTAATTAAAAAAAACTGAATACACAGAGAAATTTTCAACATACATTGTTATCTCAAAAATATATTTTAGGTGTGAACATTTTTCCTTGTGGATTAACATGCTGGTGTCCCACATAGGAATACTTAGGTTTTACCACAGGATTCAGCTCCTGACTCCACCTTCC